AGAAAATTACTCTTAAAAAACTCAAAATACCACCCATGTGAACCTCTCTCCCATTTCTCCCCTGTCCCATCATAGAAGACGCCGGAATCCCAAATCGAACCCGACGACCCTATAAGGAGTAGAGATGCTTTAACCACTGAACGGTACCCGATTCATCGGTATTCGATTCATCTCAAGTTGTGGAACCCCACGGTTTTCCTGGAGCCCAATTTTGGGAACAGCCGCACAAGTCCTACAAATTGGGCAAATGGGTGTCTTGATGAGCCATGAATCGATGCAGTGGACATGGAAACTATGGCTGCAATTTGGCAACAATCTGCATATTTCCCCCATTTTGAAACTCTCCAAACAAACCACACATTCCACTCCACTCCTCTCTTTATACTCATAACAAGGAAGCTTCTCCAAATCCTCATTACACATTCTCTTCACAAAATTCCCTTCTCCACTGAAAAGCCTCCCCACTATACACATATGAATCACTATCAAAACAGCTATTCCCACCACCAACAGAACAGCCGACACCGCAATCTCCATAACCATACTAATTTTCAATCCTTAAAAGCAAAACCCAGAAACCTTTTTTTGTGGGGTTGCTCTGTTCTTTGCGTTTTGTTTTGTTTTGGTTGTGGAGGTTGAGCCACGAGTGCTTGAAAGCTAGTCTCTGTCACTCATCTTTGATGTTTGATCTTACAGATTTTGGTTGGATTTATGGCCGGAAAATCACTGTAGGTAGTAGTAACATGTGAGTGATGGTGATGAGTTTTGTGGGGTCTCAAAAGTTTGAGCTGAGAGAGAAGAAGGGGAAGAATTTGGCAACAAGTGTCCTTCTGGCTTTTGTCCTTTTTGGGTCACAAATTTCTCTAATTTCTCAAACACCCTTTTGGAAGCTCTTTTGTTTGGTTCATTTCAGGGTAGAAGTGGAGAAGAAGCCTCACCATACAAAATTACACATCCACCCTCCATGAAATCCAGAAAAGACAGGTAGAGCAAATTATGAAGAACCAAGTTCCATCACCTGTTGTCCACGTGGAATGCCATCTGTTACTTATCTAATATTTTAACAAACTACAACCCTGTAAATATTAATATGGTATAAGAGTTCAAAAGCTCAACCAACAGCTTATCCAAAATTGAGATCCAATCAAGATCCATGAACTAAAAAGGTTATGATTTTGAAGAACATGTTAAAAATCTCACACTGAAATAAAAGATAAAAATTGATAATAGATATGAACTACCCTTTTATTATTAGTTATTTTGAAATGGAATTCTACGAATATTAATAATCACATTATCTGGACGGGAAGAGATTAATAATACTAGGTTTCGATTTTGAATCTCATCTTGCAAATAAAAGTTTAATGCTTTTTGGCTTTTTGTGTAGAAAAAATTAGTGGGAGAGACAAGAAAGGGTTCTCCAATTATGTTTAAACACCACCTCTTTACTACTCGCATCTTAGGATAGAATCTCGATTCTTAAATTTAAAGGATTACATCACAGAGGTTTATCAACTTTAAAAAGCGACGGCTGAATTTTTAAATTTTTTAATTTAATAAATCCTCTCACTAAAAAATATAATATGGATCCCTAACTCTTCTTTTTTTTTTTTTTATAGTTTTCTAAAATCAATAACCTACTAAATACAAAATTGAAAATTTAAGAGTTTATTTGATATTTTTAACATTTAAATACCTGTTAGATCATAATTTTTATGTTCGGTTTGGTATTCTCACATTTTGAAGAAATTCAAAATCATGACGGATATCAAATGAATTCTACTGTTTGGTAGTACATGATTGAATAATATTTCAAATCCTATTTTTACTTAAAAATTTTTTCCAATCAAAATGGTTGGATTTTGTAGGATTTGATAGACTTTCGAAGTAAATTACCAATTTAACCTCGTCGTATTTTAATTTCTAATTAAT